ACCATTTATCAATTTTCATAAAAAGTCTGGTTAAGAATCTGATTTAAGGGCTGGGGTTGTGGCTCAGATGTAGAGCGCTTGCCTAGCACGTGTGAGGCCCTGGGTTTGATCCTCAGCACCACATAAAAATAAACAAATAAAATAAAGGTATTGTGTCCAACTACAACACACAAAAAATATTAAAAATAATCTGATCTTAAAATAGATTAATATAATGACTAATACAGGCAAACTGACAAAATTGACATCTTTTTTCAGGTAATCTCCACACATTTCTTGGCTTTATTTTTTGCCATTTTATATTTTCAGTGCTATTATAAATAGTATTTTAGTTTCAATTTTCAAATATTTGATGCTAGTATATAAAAGTATATTTGTACATAAGAGGAAAGTTTTTCACTTACATGCTATCTTGACCAAATGAGTGGAGTTTGATAGTAATCCTTGCTACGTGTAAGGGGGCGGGGAGGAGAAGTGGAAGAAGGAAAAGAAGGGGATGAAGGAGAAGGAGGAGGAGGAAGAGGGAGAAAATACTGTATTGTACACCCATGCTAAATTCACTCATTAGTTCTAGGAGCTTTTTCTGTAGGTTCCATGAGATTTTTAAACTCAATCACATCATCTGCAAGTAAAGGTAGTTTATTCCTTTCATTTCAATCTATATGAGTTTTTCTTACCTTATTGCATTGACTAGAGCTTCTATTACATTGCCAAGTAGAAGTGGTGGGAATGGACACACTCAGTTTCTGATCTTAGGGGAAAACATTCAGTTTTTCAACACTAAATGCTTTTTTTTTTGGTAGATATCCTCTACTGGTCTGAGAAATTTTCATGCACTCCTGATTTCCTGAGAATTTTTATCATGAGAGAATGCTGAATTTTGTCAAATGCATCTATTGAGACAAACACATGGTTTTTCAGTATGTTTAATTATATCAATTGATTTTTTCAAATGGTAAACCAATCTTGAAATCCTGGGACAAAATCCACTTAGTCATGATAATATCCCTTTTGTGGATTTTTAAATTTGATTTGCTAGGATTTTGTTAAGAAATTTTGCATGTTTATAAAAGATATTAGTTTGCACTTTTCTTCAAAGGTCTTTGTTATCAAAATAATACTTTCTTCATAGAGTAATTTCAGGGGGTGGATTTTGTGTAGTTTTTTCATAGCATTCACTTGCTGTCTTTTTAATAACTGTAGAATTTGTAGTAATATCACCTCTCTCATTCCCAATATTGGTAATTTGTGTTGCTCTTCTCAAAGAACCAGATTTTAGTTTCATTGATTTTCTGTATTATTTTACCTCATTGATTTCCTGCTTTGATTTTCATTACCTCTTCTCTTTAATTTGCTTTCTCTTTCATTTGATCTTTTTCTGGTGTCTTAAAATGGAAGTAGAGGCTACTGATTGGAGTTTTTCTCTTCTGGTATAGTTTAATGGTATACCCTGGCATACTTTTCTATAAATGCTGTGATGGTTGCATTCCTCAAATTTTGCTGTTGATTTTTGTTCTGGTTTTGTGATGGTTGGTTAGAAGCAGCCACAAGACAGAGGAGATGTTCAGGTAAACAAAAATTTATTATATTCAGAAGTCCTAGAAACCAGTGGCATGTAACATCATGAGCCACATAGGGAAGATACACGGTGGCCAGTCTGTAGAAACTGGAGTAAGAGGAAAGTCCAAGAGTTTTTGTTAGAGTTTTCTTGGGAAAGACAAGATATTTCAGGGTAAACATTTTACGATTGGCTAGTATGAATAATTTTGTTGGGCTCTAAACTACAGTGGTGGTCCCTAGGTGTCTGGCACCTGGCACTAGTATGACTAAGAGGAATATTGCTTCCTGAAGTGTGTGGATCAGACAGAAGTGTGGCTCTGCTAATGTCTGGCCTGCTATGGCTAGGTCTTCACTATCTCAAAGTAAGATGTCAACACATAAAATACAGAAAAAAATATAAACAATACAGTTTTCATTTTCACTCAATTCAAAATATTAATTTCCTGTTTTGATTCTTTCTTTAGAACTGTATTATTTTCCTTATTAGGGGTTTCCAGAAAAACAGAACCAATGGAGTACATACAGAAAGACATTTATAATGAGGAACTGGCTCATGTGATTACGGAGGCTGAGAAGTCCCCACAATCCGCCATCTGCAAGCAGAAAAGCCAGTGGGTAGTTGCATTCCACGTCTGAAGGATCAAAAACAAAGAGAACAAATTATGTGAAGTCCCAGTAGGAGTGTGAAGGCCCAATGCCAGGAAGCTGATAATGGAAGCCCCAGCCAAGCCAAGAGGCAACTCCATCCTTCCTCTCTTTCTGATTTGTTGAATCATGCCCATCAACATTGGCAGGTAGATCTTCTCTATTTACTCTGTCAATTCAAATGCTGATCTCTTCTAAAAACACCCTCACAGACACACCAAGAAATAATGTTCTACCAGACATCTGGTCACCCCTTAGCCTAGTGAACACATAAAATTAACCATCACATTTTCCAAATATTTAGGGGGTTCCCGGAGATGATTCTTTATTTTTAATTGGATTCCACTGTGGTCACAGAACATAACTTGTATGACTTAAATCCTTTTAAATTTATTGGGACTTATAAATGGTCTGAAATTGATTCTATCTTTTCAAATGGTCTGGGTCATTGAAAAAATTCTTATTCTTCTATTATTGGTGGAGTATTCTACAATGTTCAAATCTTTAAAATATTTACTGATTTTGGTCTACTTATTCTAGCAATCTAAAAACTCCTAGAACTAACAAGTGAATTTAGCATGGTTGCAGAATATGGTATTGAGAAATAAAAAATCAACTGTTTCTATATTAGCAACAAACATTTGGAAATTTAGAGAATATAAAGGAGCTTGTGCCAGATGTGGTGGCACATACCTGTAATCTCAGGGGCTCAGGAGGCCAAGGCAGGAGGATCGTGAGTTCAAAGCCAGGCTCAGCAACTGGCAAGGCGCTAAATAACTCAGTAAGACCCTGTCTCTAAATAAAAATACAAAATAGGGCCGAGGATGTGGCTCAGTGGCTGAGTGCTCTTGAGTTCAATCCCTGGTACCCCCCACCAAAAGGAGCTTGTTCCATAGTAGATGAATAAAAACAAATTAGGACTTGGTAAACTATTTTGAAAGGATTACTGCAAGGGGGGACCATTTCATAGGGACTTATGTCTGTCTAAAGAGTTAGGCAAAATGGATTTACTTATAGGGAGGAAGAAACAAGTTGAAAGAGGGTTAGAGTCAGGCATGGTTGTACAAGCCTGTAGGCAGAAAGTTTGAAGCCAGCCTCAAAGACTTAGCAAGATCTTATCTCAAATTTTTAAAAAGGGATGTAGCTCAGTGATAGAATGGCCCTTGTTTTGATTCCCAGTACCACAAAAATAAAAAATAAAAGGGTGACAGGTAATTAGGGTGACAAACTGGGTGGCACTGTCAGATCACATAATGATTTATTCTGAAGTCAAGTCTATTTTCAGGAGGCAGAAGGTGGGTCAAAATTCGGGGGTTTGAGGAAAGAAGAGAATCTCCACCAAAATTTGGTTTTGATCTAATTAATCAGTGAGGGAAGACAAGAACTTTTATCATCTATGAAGCCAAGAACGGGAAATCAGAAGGCCTGTGTCTAGCCTTATCTCAAGGTAAAAAAAGGGGGATGCCTGTGAGTCTTACATACAAGGAAGGGTGATTCTTTGCAGTAAGTTTTTTTCCAGAATTAAGGGGAGCAATTGGGCTGGGGTTGTGGCTCAGTTGGTAGAGTGCTTGTCTCATATGTGTGGAGCACTGGGTTGGATCCTCAGCACCACACAAATAAATAAAATAAATTAAAAAAAGAAATTGTGTCTATCTACAATTAAAAAAAAAAAAAAAAACAGCAATTCCTTTAAATGTTCCTCCTTTGTTTGTGTGGTGCAGGGGATTGAACCCAGGGCATGTACATGCTAGACAAGTGCTCTATACTAAGCTACACCCCCATCCCTACTTTCAAGGATCAGAGGGCTCAGGTAAAAATCATCATCATAAGTCAAGAAGTCAGCAGTCAAGAAATCCATGAGCACAAGAACAAGAAATGGGAAAATACAGAATGTATGTGGTAATGTTTTGAATATTTCAAGTACAAGGCATGACAGACGAGATTGAAGATAATGGGTTTTAATCAAGTTTGAACATCTAGTTGCCAGCACACCAGGGCTGCCAGGCAAGCCCATAGGGCTCGGCATGCCTGCCTGTACACAGAACTGTGTCTAGCTGCCCATGGCCTTCTCTCCTTGCATGTGGGGGCTACTGCCATCTCCTGGGATTCGCACGGACAGTCCTACCTGCCTGGCAACACCAATGCCTGACCTGACTCTGAGAATGTGCTTGTTTCCAAAGATCAGCTCCTGAAGTGGAATGTGGAGAAGGCAGCCCTAGCTTCAAAGTCCCCTAATGTCAGACACTGTCTCCTCCCTGGGCAGGGCCTGTGGCTGCTTTACAGAGCACAGTTTAGGTGTGCTGGCGCTGGTAACATAAAAATGGAATGCTGCTGCTGCTGTGGCTGAGCTGCAGGGCCTCCACAGTCACTCTGGAGGCTTTATTTGGTGCAGGCTTCAAAACTTCCCAGGTGTGAACACTATTTACTGTTAGAACAGCTTCCTCCTCAGAATACAAGTTTTCACCTTGTGCATGCCTACCCTACCTTCCACAAAACAATTGTGCTCTGCCTTTCTTGTCCTCAACACATTTTCTTTAACACCAGGAACAAGACAGAAAAGCTCAACAGCTCCTTGATGGAGCCTGGTCATGTAGATAAAGTCCATGCCTGTGACAAGGCATAAAAACACTTCTTCAACAAAGAGGATGAATTGTTCCATTTTGTTTGTTTAGCTGAGCATCAAGATAAACATCTTTTAAACAGTACAAATTTTTTTTAATATTTATTTTTTTTAGTTGTATTTGAACACAATATCTCTATTGTATTTATTTATGTGGTGCTGAGGACTGAACCCAGGGCCTCTCACGTGTGAGGCGAGTACTCTACCACTGAGCCACAACCCCAGCCCCCAGTACAAATTTTTATATACAGGAATGACCCACTCCCAAACAAGTTTGGGGGAAAAAAAAAAAAAATAATCAAAAAATAATCTTGCTTTCTTTTTTAAAACCTGGGTGTCACATGAAGGCAGAACCAAACCTCTGTGTTGATTTTCTTCAATATGGTTAGCAGATACTGAGTTTAGATCAGTTTGGCTGGTGCTACAGTAAAGTACATAGACATGGAGAGAAGATGTTACACTGAAAAATCCCTTTCCAAAGCTGGGACCAAGCACCCAGTCTTCAACCAAGTAACCTGGGTAGGTATCATTTCCGAAAGCGCTTGAAAAGCGGGTGCACGTGCTTAGTGGAAGCTTTGCTTCGGGATGAGTGGTACTCCATGTACACGGTGTCATCAGCCCCGGACATAGAGCTCATGGTGCCAAAGCGCCGGGATGCCTGCGAGGCAGAGGAGAACCCAAGCTTCAGTTATTCTCCAAGAGAAAAGACTCATTTAATAAATTTATAATCAAATTCAATATATTTTATTATTTTTAAACAATGTTTACTGGTCACTGTGTCTCAGGCATTGTTCTGAGCATTTTACATGTATGACCTCATGTAGTCCTTATAATCATTATAAACTCATTTTACAGAAAAGGAAATGGAGGCCTAGAGATTGAGTAACTTGTCTAAGATCACACAGCTCCTAAGGAAATGGGACTTGAACACAGACAATCAGGCTTGAGACTCTTTCTTAATTAGAATGCTACACTGCTTTCCTTAATGACAACTTCAACAGTTTCATTATTTTAAATTTCGCTGAGATTTCACAAAAAACTTTGAATCAAGGAAAAAGCCAAAAGCCCTGGGATTGACTCATGGCCCCACCTTTCACTGGGAGACGTCAGGCAAGTACTGAAAGTCCATGCCTCAATGAACACATCTGTAAAATGGAGATAACCACATCTGCCCTGACGGATGAGGTATAAACAGAAATCACAGAGGTCAGGGGCTTGGCCCAGAGCCCAGCACATCATTGAATCCATGTTACAGGGGAAATATGCAGCCAAGCACTGACTTCAAGGTTAGGGCCTCACCTTAGGGCCAGTGAGAACCACAGAGACCCAGGCTTTCCTGGGTCTCAGTGTAAGCTGCAAACCTCTGGCAGGAGGACGTCTTAAGCTGAAGGAAGGGCAGCACCAGCTCAGATGAGAGGTGCTTCCTTCTTACCTTGTTACAGCCACTCGTCACCTTTTGGCTTTAATACTAATTGAATTTCAACAGCATCTGACTCAATTGCCCTTCTCTCCTTAAAAAGGCCTAAACAATTCTCCATGACAATGCTCTCATTAATCACACCACATTACACTTACCTGGGAACGAAGCAGGCACTCAGTAAATTTAAAAGAACTCTAAATTTTTCAAAATACATGTTGAAGCTACCATACAAACTGATCCTCAGACCCATCTCCCAGAGTAGAAGGCTCAGCTCTATCACTAAGGAGGAAACCAAAAGCAAGCTGACTTGCCCAAGACCAACAACAGGCACTGTTCTGTCACTGCCACCTCACCCTCTGCCCCCACAGACTGAGAGGCAGAGTCTGGAGTCACCTGTTCACCTTCCTGGACTCTAACACCAATATACTAACAAATGCTCCTGCCAGACTGTTAAATGAACAAGCCAAGAGATGAATCACAGCCACTGAGAGTTCAGCCATGTTGGACAACATATATTCAGGAAGGGATGTGCACCACAAGATTAATCGGAGTTGTTTCTATTATTCTCTTCTCCAAGGTTTTTTTTTTTTCCTCCCAAGTTTGTCTCCAACCCCCCCAGCCCCTGCCCCCAAGAATGTGTGCATATGTAAGTGGCCATACTCCAGCCTCACCCACTGGCTCACCTGGCTGGACTTGGAGCCAAACTCTCCTGCCACTACCTCCTCCTCCGCATCCAGGTCAGTGGCCGCCAGGACTTTCTGTAGGAGCTGCTGTTGCTCCTCCTTTGTGGAAAATGCCAACTCTTCTTCCTCCATGCCAGCAAGCTTTGTGATCACCTGCAAATTCAAAAGTAGATGCGTCCCTTTCAGTTATCTTCCCCTTGGCACCACTCAGCCTTCTCCCAAGTCCACTTCTTGTCGCTTCCTTCCCATAGACACAGCCGGCCAGGTGGCCAATGGAGAGGCTCCTCTCTGGTGTTCTAGAGACCAGCTTCAGAGCTGCCTGTAACAGCTACATTAATGACTCCAAGACAGAGATGAAGGAATTACAGAGGAATCTCTGCTCCCAGTGCAGAACATTTAATAATCCCACATAGAAGATCAACAGGAACCCTAGTAACTGTAGTCCCTCAGTAGTCTTCCCATATTGAATCAGGTAAGGAAGGGAAACCAACTAAAGTTGTGCCTTTTGACAAGGATCCTCCACCCTGCTATGCTTGGCACCCAGGGCTTCCAGCAGGAAAGCGCTTAATAATTTCAGGAACTGAGAATTTATTGGAAAGATATTCTCTAAAAAAACAAGATGACAGTATGATGGAAACTGGGTTTTCACATCTATAGGGATAACTTACTATGAGACTTACCTAAACCTGCAGAAAGCCTGGGCTGATTACGTAAAGGTAACCCCTTACCTCCCCTCAACCCACACACACACTCCAATTCTCTGCATAATGTAAAAGGAAAACTTCTAGAAATAAGGATTTGAGTCCTTTAGGTGGCCAGACATCCAGACTACAATCAGTGGGACACATCTGCCCTGGCACGATGGCTCAAGGTCACACAACCCAGGGAACTCTTACTGGCTACTCTGGACAAAGGTAAGTTGGCCAACATAGACATCATGTGTACATGTACCTGCCAGGCTAGCCTTTCAAAGAACTCAGAGTTTTCTTTCTGAGTTGGCATTCCTGTTACCCTGAGGTGCTGCAAGGACCAAGAGTTATGAGTGCTACTATCAGCATGGATGAGGGGTTGGGTCACAATGCAAATCTTCTAAAAAATTAGGATCAAAACCCAAGGTGTCCTGTCCTCTAGTCAAGCCTAAGAGGTCTGAAAAGTGTCATTGCCCCTGGTTAAAAGAGAAGCCAGACAATCTTGTCCTCTAAGGCTAAACATGGGAACTCTCCAACACACTAAGAGACACGACTGAAGGCCGGGGGTACAGCTTAGTGATACAGGACATGCTTGGCATGCATGAGGATCTGGGTTTCATCCTTAGCACCAAGAGGAAGAAAAAAGACAACTGAAAATGTATTCAGAAAGGGGGCTATGGTGTTTTGCAAAACAAGAACCTAAGAAACGTGTGTTTTAGCAATGTTCCTGCAGTAGACCACAAGGGGAATTTTTTTTCCCTGCTTCCAGAACCCTCCACCCCCACCCCCAAATAAAACCCTTTGGGACACTAAATCCTAACACAAACTTACAAGTTATGTCAATGGGAAAGAAAGCAAATTACCCCAGCCAGTGAAAATTAGCCAAAGCTTTAGTAATTCCCAAGTTATTTAAAGACCCAGTTTATGATACAGATGGTTCCAATATCTGGGAAGATGCTGGGGCTTATCAGCTGAGAAAATAAAGCCAATCCTAGACAACGGGAGCGGCACCAGTCTGAGAAAGGAACCCTAAGAGGCTCACTCTTGTACAGGGCTGGCCACAGCACCTAGGCACCTCACTGTGGACAAGCTACCACATTTCCCATATTTCCCGCCAACATCGGAATGCTGTCTCCAGTAGTTTGTGCAGAGACAAAGGAGTCTGAGGCAAAGCCTCTAATACCCTAAGGCTCTCTGCCTACCTGAGGTCTGTCTCAGGCTGTGCCCCCACTTCTCTTGGAGGCCAGAATACCAGAAAGGCTTTGGTCATGGTCTAGCCAGAGACCTAGTGGATACATACCTTAAAACTATAACCTTGATCTACCAAGAATCTCTGTCGCTTGGTAGAGTAAGCCATTTCTTGTGTGTCCTGGGATACCAGTGAGTAGAAGAAGGCATTGTACTCCTCTGCAACCATCCCTGCAGGGAGAAGGTGAGAGAAAGTAGGGAAGAAGAATGTTAGAATGCCAGGAGCTTTAAGTCCCAGGCTTGGAAGCAAGCACCACAGTGAGAAACTTCTACAGGCAAGGCAGAAAAACTCAGACTTTTCCCCATGGGACTTCATCAAAATTAAAGCCTTTTGTGCCTCTATTGAGCACTATAAGAAACTAAAAAAGAATCCACAAATACCTGCAAAGCACATATCTGATAGGGTACTTGCATCTAAAATATATCAAGAACTACCACAACTCAGTAAGACAGATAAGCCAACTATAAAATGGTCAAAGGATCTGAACAGACATTTCTCTAAAGACAATACACAAATGGCCAAGGAACAGGGAAATGCAAATCAAAACCACAATGAGAGGACTGAGGTTGTGGCTCAGTGGTAGAGCACTCGCCTAGCACATACGAGGCACTGGGTTCAATCAGCACATGAGAGGCACTGGGTTCAATCCTCAGCACCATATTAAAAAATAAGTAAATAAATAAAAGGTATTATGTCCAAATACAACTAAAAAAATTATTTAAAAAAAAAAACACAATGAGAGCCAGGCGTGGTAGCACATTCCCTGTAATCCCAGCAGCTTGGGAGGGCTGAGGCAAGAGGATCATAAGTTCAAAGCCAGCCTCAGCAAAAAGCAAGGTGCTAAGGAACTCAGTGAGACCCTGTCTCTAAATAAAATATAAAATAGAGCTGGGGATATAGCTCAGTGGTCAAGTGCCTCTGAATTCAATCCCCAGTACCAAAAACAAAAGCACAGTGAGATGTCATCTCGTCTCCACCAGGATGGCAGAATCAGACAGATAATCACAACTGTTGTCAAGGATATGAAGAAAATGGAGCTTTCATGCACTATATAGTGGTGCTTTGGAAAAAGTTCCTCAAAATGTTAAACACAGTGTTATTACCACATGATCCAGCAATTTCTACTAAGTATATATCCAAGAAAACTGAAAACATCCATACAAAAATTTGTATGTGAATTTCACAGTAGCACTAAGAACCAAATATCAGAAATCACCCAAATGTCCATCAACAGATAAATAAAATATGGTATGTTCATAAGTGGAATATTAATTGGCAACAAAAAGAGAATGAATACTGATACATATGGGTAATCCTTTTTTAAAATATTTTTTTTCATTGTCAATGGACCTTTATTTTATTTTTTACTTATATGTGGTGCTGAGAATCGAACCCAGTGCCTCACACATGCTAGGCAAGCACTCTGCCACTGAGCTACAACCCCAGCCCCTGAGTAATCCTTTTGAAAACATTACGCTAAGTGAAAGAAGCGAGTCACAGAGGGCCCCAGTGTGATCTTTTAATGAAACATCCAGAATAGGAATATAGAGACAAAAGTAGATTAGTGGTTGCCTAGGGCTGAGGGATTGGGAGCAAGGGAAATGAGGAATGACTGGTAACAGATAAGGGCTTCTTTTTTGGGGGTGAAGAGAATATTCTAAGTGTATGTTGTGGTATGGCTGCACAACTTTGTGAATATGCTAAAAAAATCACTGAACTGTTTACTTTAAGAGCATCACAGGTGCTTACACCCCTGATTAAAAACAAGCCAACAAAACAGCAGTTCAGAGAGAAAACCTCTAACCAGGGACAATGAGCACAGAAATCAGGACAGAAAATACTAAGGCCTGAAAGATCTGATTCTTCAGGAAAATCTGAACATTTCTGCTTCACAATTCAAATATCAGGAGGTTAAGAATCTGTATACTGCCTTTGAATTCAATGGTTTCTCTTAGAAGAGCTGACATCCAGGAAAGAGTATACTCCCTAGGCCTCTGGGGTTGGGTGCTAGGATCCCCCACTATTCCAAAGGGCTAGATATCTGTGCCAAAATATTTTGACTGAGAAAATACAATTCTAATCAAATTCAAAGGTGTTTTCAAATTAGCTTTGCTTTTTTTGTATGTGAGAGAAAGAATAAGGAATGAGTTATTTTCACATTTGCTAACAGACTATATTCAGTTAATAAAAGTTTATCAAGCAGCCTACTGTATTCTGTTTTATAGGCTCATTCCGACAACAGTCCAGCAAGACAGCACAATCACCCCCACTTTGGATGGAAAAACCAAGGTTCAGAGGGGCTAATAATGTACGTAAGGTCACACAGCTAATCTGGAGCTCAGTCCATGCTACTTTGACTATCTGCCTTGCTTTCATTTATTATGTAACAACCAGCTGCCTTAAACATTCTTAAATACAATATAATTTCAACTTATGTCCACTAATCTTTCATTTTCAAATATCCTAGTAGTTCAGGTGCTTCCTGGTTTGATAAGAAAGTTCCCTGAGGACAGGGCCTATTTCCTTGTCTCAGGATGTGCCTGGTCCCAGTAGGAAAGAGGCAGCCACATCTCAGCAACATCCGTCCCTGCCATGCCCATGGCTCAGGTCTGGGCCCTTCTGCTGCAGTCAATACACACAGGAAGCCCGCTCACTAAGACAGCTTAGCTGAGAGCACACTCATGTGAACTGCAGGCCACTGTTATGCAAAACACCCCCATGTTCACTCCCATGGTATGAAAAGCGAGGACCATGTGGCTGTTGAACCTTGCTTTGGGACTGCCTCTCTTCAGGGTCTTTCTGGTCCTGGGACAAAGACTGAGGCACTGAACACATTTGTGGTTCATCCCTCCCTTCCTTAACCAAAGTGGTTCCAGAGGAGACTCTTCTCCACCCACAGCAGAGGAGGAAAAGCTGCTGTTACCTTTTTTGGCTCGAAGCACCCGTCCTAGCCTCTGGGCCTCCTGCCGCCTGGAGCCACCATGGGATGAGATCTGAATGAGGACATTGGCTTCTGGAAGATCAAATGATGTGTCACCTACCTATAGAAATGAAGCAGCTGTAAGCTTAGGAAGGTTTTTACATCACACACACACACACACACACACACACAATCAACTAGTTCAGAATTTTAAATTTTACTTATTTATCTTTGTATGCTGGGAATGGAGCCCAGGGCCTTGGGCTTGTTAAGCTGTGTTCTACCACTGAGTCACATCCCTAGCCCTGGCTTATAATTTAAATCTGCTCTGTAGATCATTTAAAAAAAAACACTCTCCTCTCCATACAAAGTCCTTCTGATACAGAGAAAAGTGAAGTGGTGGACCCCACCCTGAAGGGTCTGCCTCTCTAGGACCTTGTAGGTTCTAACAGCACCAAAAAATTACTGCGGCTCAGCAAGGCTCACAGTGCTGCATGCAAAGATAACACAGACTCACATCAATTTTCTTCAGAGAGGTGAAGTACTTTACTGAGGTCATGCAACTCCTATAAAGAGGAGCTAGTACCCAAATCAATTTTCTTGTTTCTGTGGCTATAGAAATAGGTCAAAATCATCTGATAATCACTGAGACCAGCAGCAGCACCTATGAGACAATGTGGCCTGGGCCGCTGCCCAGCAAAGGATTCTAATTATGGGCAGGATGTCCAACTTGGGAAGTTGACCACCAAAGGGCCACAGACAGGGTCTAATGCTCACTTTCCTATCTATGATCACCCTACAGAGAAAATGCACTTCTGGGCTTTAGGTCTGTCTTCATCTGAATGACTTCTAAACCATTAGACCACAGCTTCTAATAGTAGGAAAGAACTTTAGTTCCTTTCCTAGGAAATACAATCTAAAATTCCTACATCCCAAGAAGAGGTAGGAAGAATCTCAGCTAAGTGAAGAGCCTTTATAGATAACACATGAAAATCCTAATGATCCCAGACCCTGGGCACGTAGGAATAAAAATGTACAAGGGAATATCTTTTGATAAACATGAACTGACTGTCCAGGAAAGAGTATACTCCCTAGGCCTCTGGGATTGGGTGCTAGGATCCCCCACTATTCCATGTGCCACACAAACCTTGGATATAAAGATGGTGTTGATTTTGGGGTTGTGCTTGAAATTCTGAAGAATTTGCATCCTTTCTCCCTGGGATGTAGGCCCATAGATATAGGGTCTAAAGAAGAACACAGATGTGTTAGAAAAATCACAGAATCATACTTCAGTTATCCTGAGAACACAGCAGATGGAAAAAATAAGCTTAAGCAAGGTCTTCTCTGAGAGGAAGCCCTAGGTCATGTCCACTGGGATATGAGAAGATCCATGACAACAACTAGCTACAGACCCACCCCTGCCAGCCTCCCCCAAGAGCCCCAGCCCATCCCCCTCTGCTTCTAGGCCCAGGCCCACCACCCTCTTCAAGATTCCCTTTTTGACTTATTTATTTCCTACTATAGTTTTTCCTCCTCTAACATCTGTCACTCTAGGTAAGGATAAGCTTCGATTTCATGAAGCCTAAGAGAAGCAGCAAAGAAACAATTCTACATCCAAACAAAGGCTGAACACAACATTCTCCAATGTCACAAACAACCTTCAAGAAATGAGCAGAAAGTAAAAAAGGGCCTTTCAACCTTTTCCCCACTGCACTCACAGAATACCAAATTTAAAAGTTTCTCTTTAGTTTCTAGCTCCTTGCTCAAGGGCACAAGCCTCTGGGAACCTCACTGGTCATTGCCTATGGCACCTAGGATGGTCATATCCTTGTCTTTTATATGGGAATGTGCTGGTAGTCAGTTTCCATAGCTTCCCCCAAACCCTAACAACAGTAATGATGATGATAACAAGCACAAAGAAGACAGGAATAAAGATCCAGGGCCTACTTATGTCAAGCACTGAGCTAGTACTACTTAAAAAAATAAAAATAACTCACTCATCATTGCCAATATCCATCAGAATTAAAAAGGTTAAGGTTCATGTTCCTCAATCTACACAAAAGGTTCAGGGCCAGAGCTGGGTGAGATGGTGCATATCTATAATCCCAGAAGCTAAGGAGGCTGACGCAGGAGAACTGAAAGTTCAAAGCCAGCCTTAGCAACTTAGTGAGGCATGAAGCAATTTAGCAAGACCCTGTCTCTAAATAAAATACAAAAAAGGGCTGGGGTTGTGGTTCAGTTGTTGAGTGCCCTGGGTTCATTCCCTGGTATCAAAAAGAAAAGAAATGAAAAAACAGGAGCCCAAGGGAATGGAGCCCAGATGTGGCTATCTCATGGCCAGGCCCAATGGTGTCCAGGACAGTGCCTGGTAAGGACACAGGATGCACTGTTTTTGCAACTCTGTGCAGTGCTACTCAATACCCAACAATACACTACAAGATGATCTCAGATGTACCTGAGAACAAACCCCTCAGCCACACAGAGGCTGGGCAGAACCTGGGTCAGCTGCACACCCAGGCTGACTACCACAGGATAACCTAGACATAAGCTGCCTCACCTGACACAGAGAGTATCAAGGTACCACACAATCCATCATTTTCTGTGTGTCATGGAAAAAAGCTTGGGAAGCCACAAACCTGTCTTGCTGAAAGTGGTGGCACAAGCATGTAGTTCTAGCGACCCACCCATGGGGATGAGGCAGGAGGACTGCAAGTTTGAGGCCAGCTTCGGCAACTTAGTGAGACCCTGTCTCAGAATAAAAAGGACTGGAGATGTAGCTCAGTGCTCCTGGGTTCAATCCCCAGCACCCCTCAAAATAAATAAATAAATTTAAAATAATTTTAAAAAAAAGAAGTTTGTCTCCTGACACCCAGATTTTTAGGGGGTTCTTTTACTATTCCTCCACCACCAGGAAAAAACTTCTCACACAATGGTGAGTTCCTCAGTATCTGAAGGTTTCCCCCATACAGGAACTGGAACACCTAAAGGGTAACCACCCTCCAGGAAAAGAACCAAACATTTGGAGAACCCTTGTGAGATGCCAGGCATTAGAATTCCCTGTGGTAGCTCCAAGTGACCAAGAAATAAAAGGAGGATCAGAGAGGTGAAGTACTTTACTGAGGTCATGCAACTCCTATAAAGAGGAGCTAGTACCAAATCAAAGTGTGTCTCCACAGATGATACTCCACATTATCTCACACTGCATATACCCTCAACAGTGTCTCCTGCAACTGTGTGGTGACCCCATTCCTTTCTTTAAAGCTGGAAGAACCCCCTTTACCACCACTGGACACATCAGGTTTGTCCATCGTAAGTTAAGAATGAATTCGCAGAATCATTTCAAAATCAAGAAAACAGGACAAACAAAGAACGTTTTGACTTTTTTTTTTTTTTGGTAGCAGGCCATTAAACCCAGGGGCACTTAACCATTAAGTCACCCCCCAGCCCCTTTTTTTGGTGGTGGTGGTGGGGTAATAAGGATTGAACTCAGGGGCACTTGACCACTAAGCCACATCCCCAGCCCTATTTGGTTTCTTATTTATAGACAGGTCTCACTGAGTTGCTTAGTGCCTCACCAGTTGCTAAGGCTGGCTTTGAACTCTGTGATCCTCCTGTCTCAGCCTCCCGAGCGACTGGGATTATAGGTGTATACCACTGTGCCTGACCCCTTTCTACATTTAAAAGCCAGATATTAAAAAAATTTTAAAAAAGAGTTATTAGCAAAATTTGTAATTATTCCATTACACATGAGAGAGCCACAGTTGGCTACTTCTCCCTCTGTCAGGCTGGTTTAGCACTGTCAGCACCAGCTCCAGGCAAACTAACATCTCTGCCCACAGGCTCAAATGGCTGCAGTCACAAGCAAGCCTTGGGTGTTTCAAAGTAGGTGTGGGGAGGCCACTTGAGGAAGTCTGAGGGGGGTAGAGGAATATACTTATTAAATATGACATAGTAAACAGAAGCACTGTCCTGCTGCTGCTCTTGAACTGACACTAATTTGACAGTAAAGGGTAAAAGGACAAAAACCTACAACAAGAACAGAAGAAATAACAGCAGATGAGAGCAGTAGGTAACATCTTGGAAGCTGAAAAGCAGACGGATGCTGGTACCGTGACTGAGCTAACAGATTAGGGAAAGCAGAAGCTGGGCTGGCAGGAGGGAAAGTCAACAGAGAACAAGCCAATTTTCTGTGCAAAACACAGAAGAGTTCAAGAACTGGTGCCCACTTGTGCTGGAAGGCGAGGTGGCAAGCAGGATGGCAGACAGCAGGCCTGGGAGTATGGATAAGGAGCAGAGACTCAGCCCCACAGCAGGCTTCAGGCGAAGCCTTCCTTTCCAGGATCTGAAAAAGGAAGGTTTATACTCAGGACATCAGCAGAGTTGAGGGCAAAAGCGAGACAGAAACTGAAGCATGAAGGTTAAAGCATCTCCTCAAGGCTAAGACTTCACAACCCCATTTCCTCTGTTCCCACACACTGGTACCCAGGGGATGGAAAATTTCCTTCCAGAGAAAAGATTAGACCCCAAGAAAGACCTAGAGATACTGACTTATATCTTATCAATCTCTGGATAAAACAGCCAGGTGCCTGCCTGATCATTCTGTAGGAAGGTCCATATCCACTAAGACATACAGAATGGCTTGTCACCTTTTTAGTGACTGACTCTCAAATAAGAAAATGCAGCCACAGATTACAAAACTCTGAAAAAAGAAGTTAAAAGAATCAAAGCAAAAAAGAGAGACAGTGCAAGAAAACAGAAGGAAGCTTCAAAAGCTTTCATAGCCCGAAATAAGAAGACATTATACTCAAGCAACAAGAAAAAAAGAAAAAAAAAAAAATTATTAGCAAAATTTTTAATTCTCATTCCATTACACATGAGAGAGTCACAGTTGGATACCTCTGTTATTAAAAGTTATTAATAGGGCTGGGGATGTGGCTCAAGTGGTGGCGCACTCGCCTGGCATGCACGGGGCGCTGGGTTCGATCCTCAGCACCACATAAAAATAAAATACAGATGTTGTGTCCACCGAAAACTAAAAAAAAAAAAAAAAAATTCTCTTTTTAAAAAAAAAGTTATTAATAAAGAACTCTTGTGGGCTGGGGTTATGGCTCAGAGGTAGAGCGCTCGCCTAGCATGCGTGAGGCACTGGGTTCTATCCTCTGCGCTACATAAAAATAAAATAAAGATATTGTGTCCACCTACAACTAAAAAATAAATACTTGGAAAAAAAAAAAAAGAGAACTCTTGTTACCAAACACAGTAGTGCACAATTATAATACCAGTGACTCAGAAGACTGTGGCGAGTCTCTGCAACTTAGCAAGACACCAAGACACTACCTAAAAAAAAAAAATAAAAAGGACTAGGGATATAGGACCCTGGGTTCAATCCCCAGTACAAACAAACAAACAAAAAAACCTCTCAGAAATTAACAAAAGTTCCAATAGATGTGTTAGAAGACAAAGGGATAAAAATACGAGGAAAAAGATATGAAAATGGGTGAAGTGGTTCAGAAGATCTAACATCTGACCAATAGGGATTCTAAAAACAGAAAACAAAGAGATGATGATTAGCAAAGAAAAGGAGAAAAAACTCTCAGAACTGAAGGACACAAGTTTCCATACTGAAAGGGCCTAATGAATGTCCATTACAATGAAAGAAAAAATACTGAACTAGGCATAGAAATTTTGAAATTTAAAAAGAGAAAAAAAGAGAGGGAAAGATCATCCTATCTAATAGAAGAAGGAAACACAAATACCACAACAGACTGCAAACAGAGGAACTAGATGGTACCAGACTCCTGAGCAGCCACACTAGAAGCTTCAATGTAAATAAATACCAAGGACCAGCCAAACTACTGAAGGAGTTGAGTAAAGTCATATACAAGCACTCTAAGTCTTAAAAACCTCAAGAATCTAATGGAGCATTTGCTCCAACAAAATAAGTGACTAAGAAAAAGGAGACCTGAGACTAGGACATAGAGGTTCAACACAATTAAAAAGGTGAGGCCCAGAGTTATGTCCAAGGGAAGCCCAAGATGACAGCTGCTGGTATCCCTAGTCCTAGGTAACAAGCAAGCCAGAACAGAGGCGGAAGAGGAATAATGAATCTGACCAGGTAAAGAGAAAAACCAGAACTTAGAGATTACCTGACACTATTGAGAGGGAGCTTCTGGTTATATGAAAAGTCTGGAGAAGAGTAAGTAATCAAGTGTATGGAAAACTACACAAAAGCAACAACTAAACAAATAAAACATAATCATAGTACATTTACATATCTCCATCTGAACAATACTTATACAGTCAAAATGACACAGCACTGAATTTTAATTTAATCCCAAACTTGTGCCATTACCGTATTGGGAGCATGGTAGGAGAGAAAACAAAGAGGTGGGGTAGAAAGTGGTGTTTATAAAAAAACTACACCCTCAACTCCTGTAGTAGGAAGGTAGTAGGCAATTCCTGCCATTGATAATCCAGAAACTGCTGCATAAACTACTTAGAAATAAGAAGGTAAATGAAGGGAAAAAAATAAAGATTCAAAGTGGCTGCCTTCAGAGAACAAGGTAGAAACAGAGGTACAGAGAAATATTTTTTCATAATAATCTAAATGTTAACTTGGATAAAAATAAATACCTTTTCTAAATCTAGAAAAAGTACAATTTTAGAAACTTGAGAAATCTTAATTTTTCTATGCCTATTTTCCAATCCATATAATAATACCTCATATGGATGAGGTGAGGATTGAATCATACATAGATACAGGACTCCTAGCACACAGCTTTATAGGAAGAAACTGGTCTATATTCGTTCTTCTCTATCCACCACTACAAAAAAATAAGGACCTGTCTCCAAAGAGAACCTCGTCCTTTTGTGGCTGGAAGAAACACAGGCCTCCTCTTTCTTACTTGGCAGGAATTTTGCCATGGCAAGGATGTTAAGTGTAGGTGTTTGTTGTGATTTGGTGAGGATGTTCAGGGAGCAGTTCCCAAAAAGTTCTGGTTCAGATACTAATCCACACCTAGAATGCTGACCCAGCCCATCCTGCCTTCCTTCTTTGCCCCTGAACCATACAGTCTGGCCTTAACTTCCACCTACAGTGCTCACTTGGCCTGAAACTCCAGACACCAATTCCCATGCACACTTGGAGCCTAGATCTGAGATAGTGCCCACCCAGCACTGCACAACTCTGTGGCCCCTATTCTCTGAGGTCAGGGTAAACATGCTCCACCTTCCTATATGTTCTAACCTCCAACTCTGACCACCTGCTTCTCTGTCTTGCCTGGCTCCTGGGACCAGGGGCAGAGAACCAGACCTACAGATCCCAAGAAATAGGCACCTTTGCTCCTCTCAGTGGGGAAGATAAACTGGTCTGGAAGAAACTCCAAGGTTTCAATTCTTACTTGTTCAGTCGAATGGCATATTCCTTCAAGGCAAACACGTTGTCAGCAAAGACAATAATCTTGTCGTTCCTCCTTTCATGAAACTTGATCAGAAACTGGCAAGCTCTGAACTTGTTGGGGTTCATGGTGTACAGCAAGATTCGTTTCTTAGTTTTGATTGCCACATATTCCCGGTAAAACTCAGGAGACATTGGGCACCAAACCTAGATGCAATAAGAAAAAGAGTCGGGCTGGGGATGTGGCTCTAGTGGTAATGCGCTTGCCTGGCATGCGCGGGGCGCTGGGTTCGATCCTCAGCACCACATAAAAATAATAAAGATGTTGTGTCCACTGAAAACAAAAAAATAAATATTAAAAAATTCTCTCAAAAAAAAAAAAAAAAAGAAAAAGGGTCATTTTGCAAGTTTAGACATCACATGATTGGAGACTCTGAAGCTCCTTTCATGTAGCAGAATTAGCTTTAAAATTCTTCAAAACAAAGCCAATGGTTATGAATTTTATCTCAAAACAGCAGTCCTCCCTTATGGTGGTTTTGGTTACTCATGGTCAATGGGAGACTGAAAATATTAAATGGAAAATTTCAGAAATAAACAATCCAGAAACTTTAACTTGCACACTGGTTCTGAGAAGCATAGTGAAATCTCACATGGACCTGTTCTACTCTGCCTAGGATGTGAATATCCTTTCCCCAGCCTATCCACACTGTGTAACTACCTGTTTGTTAATCATCTGGTAGACATTTCAGTTATCAGATTGACTGTCCCAATATCTCAGTGTTTGTGTAAGTAATCCTTATTTTACTTAATAATGGCCTAAAGCACAAAAGTAGTGATGCTAACAATTTGGATGTGTCAAAGAGAAGCATGTAAAAAAGGTAAAAGTTCTCAATTTACTGGGAAAGAAAAAAAAATCACATGCTGATGTTTCTAAGAGCTGTGTTAAGTTCAAACCTTTTATCTGTGAAATTGTAAAGGCGAAGAAATTATTGTTGGTTTTGCTGTTACACCTTACACACTGTAAAATTTTCTGCCACAGTACATTAAGTGCTTAGCAAAGATGGAAAATGCATGAGGTTACAGGATTTGGTACTATATGAGGTTTCTGGCATCCACTGGGGGTCTTAGAAAAAATCTCCCAGGGATAAGGGGGAACTACTGTATAGCTATAAATATATTCACAAAATTAAACAAAATCTAATACATAATGTTAAACTGGCACACTCTCATGTCATGGTATCAGGGGCTTTCATTAATCCTTGTGCCTGCACCCTAAATCTCACTCAAAACTCCATAGCTGGCAAGTTCAGAGGCTGATAAAAAATAATACTAATTTCAAATTCATGTGTTTGACAGAATAAGAAATAAAGCTCCCACAGCCAGTGCCACTTCTATACAATCATGACAGACCAATTCTTTATGATGCCAGCCCTGCAGAATTAGTGGACAACATTATTAGCCAAACACCAAGTGGAGCTCAAATTCCACAGGTGCTGCTGATTTCCCTCTGGGCCACATCCTACCTGTGACTCTATGAGTTTCTATTTTTTATAGCCAATGCAGTTCTTTTTCACAGTGTAATCTTTAAAATTCTACATTTCACAAATCATGAAACACAAATGGCTCATGATATGTCATTAGTAAAGAGGAAAATATAAATTCAAACCATAAAGGGATACCACTTCACACTTAACAGGTTAGCAAAAATCAAAAGAAAAAAATCACTATTCGGTGTTAAAGGAGATGTGAAGTATCAATCACTACTGATTACTGCAACACCCACTTTGGGAAACAGCTGAGCATATTATGGTTTGGATCTGATCTCATGTGTTGAGGGCTTGGTCCCCAGTACAGCAATATTCAGAGGTGGAGCTTTGGGGAAGTGATTGAATTATGAGGACTCTGACCTTATCAGTGGATTGATTAATCTACTCATTACTTAAGTGTAGGTACTGGTGGAAACTATAAGCAAGAAACAATTTATTAGGAAAAATAAAGCCAATGGTTGTCAATGGAGGAGCATGGTTGGAGGAAGTAGGTCACTGGGGACGTGTCCTTTTTTCTCTCCTTGTCTCTCTCCTCCTATTCTCTCTTTATCTCTGTCTCTGTCTTCTTCCAGGTACCAAGATTTTATTAGCTTCCTTCTACCATATCCTTCTGCCATGTTCTTCCTCAACTTAGGTCTACAACAATGGAACTGGTTGATCATGGACTTAAACTTCTGAAACTATGAACCAAAATAAATCTTTCTCCTTCAAGTTGTGTCTGGTATCTGGTCTCGGCAAGGAAAAGCTGACTAACACAATAATATACTGAACATTCAGAAACTTTCAGCCCAGAACATTCCTTCAAAGTATGTCGTTCAGGAAGGGGTCCACTATAAGGTCATAGTCCACACTGTGAATAGAGAAATTCTTACAGAGGGCACTAGGAAATATCCAAAAACAAAAAAAGCAGCAACATTGTCAAATGGCAAAAAAAAATCTAACCTCCAAATTTATAGACAGAAAATAATCCAATGGTTGCCCAGCACTGGGAGTAGGAGTTAGAGATACACTCCAAAAAGACACAAGGGGATTTTGTGAGGTGTTGGGATTTTTCTTAAAGTGGATTGTGAGGATAGGTACACAGCTCTTTACATTACTAACATCATAGAATTGTACACTAACAATGTATGAATTTTACTGGTGTATAAATTAAAACCCAAAAAAGCTGATAAAAGAACAACTTAGCAACTCAAATATCTATCCATGTTAAAAAAAAAAAAAAACTTTTTTTTATTGCTGTGTAGTATTCTGTTATATATCAAACTGTGGTATATCTGTATAATGGAATACTATACAGTGATTCAAAGGAATGAACTACAGATATGTGCACCATCAAAAAGGAATAAAGAATCATGTGAAGAATAAAAATGCTGAGAAAGACAAAAGTCACAGAGAAACATAATAACCCAATTCCACTGACATAATTTTTTAAATTAAATCAGGCAAACATATATTGAGGGAAATATATGTAGAAGGTAAAGTAATAAACGAAAGCAAGACAATAACAAATACAAGCTTCATGATAGAGGTCGGCACTGACAGATAGAAAGGAAATGAAAGTGGGAGGAACAGAAGGCCTTGAAGGTCCCAGCACCTGTTCTTAGATGGTGGCGATTCCATAGACACAACTAAAGGGTGAGGATTTTTTCAACACAGCAAGAATCTTCACAGGTTACTCACAGGAGACCACTTCTCACACTTTCAGGACAGAGACCACCCTACTCTACCACTGAGCGACAGTCATTTTAAAGTACCAGAAAGGGGTTTTTGGGTTGTTGTTCCTTCTAAAAATATTTAGCTTTGAACATGAATTTTTAACACATACCTATGCAAGTATTCATTAGAGAAAAATATTGGGAAAATGTGCTTTTAGAAATAAAAAATTATTAAGGCCACAATCTGTCTTCTTGGGGTTTTGACATTGGGAGTGGCCTTGATGGACCCCTCAGGGAAAAGGTAGGCAGAACACTTTAGGGACTCAGTCAGAAAAGGAGGATGCTCATGGAGTATAGACCCAGTGGCCTGCATTAGTATCCTGACTTTACCAATTACTGACCATGTGACTCGGGACAAGGGATCCTGCTGCATTCATTTGTGAAATGGGTTAACATGCCCACCCCACAGGGTGAATGAGGGTATGGGAATAGGTAGCAGCAGTTTAGCCCAAGTCCTGACCTATGTATCTGCCATGAGGAATCAACCTGATCATGTCCCCCTGCCCACAAAAGGGGTCCTTCCCTCAGACACCCACCCAACCAGGCCCAGCTACCTCAGCACACTGGACTTTGGCGATGTAGCCATTGTTCTGCAGCTCCATCCAGTTGGCTTCATAGAGCTTGGGCCCAATCAGAAAATTTAAGTCCACAATTTTGTCATCTTCCCGGACAAGGGTTGCAGTCAAACCCAGCTTACAGTGGGCCTGCACGATGGTGAGCACCCTTCGGAACATCTTAGCTGGGGGAACAAGGAAAACATTCACACGATCACTTTCTAAACTGCTTAATTACCACATGCAGCTTTATGATGACTTAGCACCAGCCTTTGACACCACAGGGGCTAATTTGAAACCTCAGGAGCCTGGCTCTAGATAAAAATGACAAGGTAAGGGTTGGGGTTGTGGCTCAGTGGTGGAATGCTCGCCTACCATGCATGAGGTACTGGGTTCAATCCTCAGCACCACATAAAAATAAAAAATAAAGACATTGTGTCCACCTAAAACTAAAACATAAATATTAAAAAAAAAAAATGACAAGAATACTTCAACAACACTTGAAGACCTGTTTAAAAGATGAAATTGAGAACAAGGAAAAAATGATTTCAAGAAGGCTCCAAGTTAGCAAACTCCAGCAATCTCCTGATAGTAGCTAAGTTATCAGGAGTGCAATGTGAAAAGTAATCTTAGAATACCAGTAAGTTCTGACTTGCACAAAAATATTGCTCATCCTAGAACTTGTACTCAGGTGGCAGCTGGGGATCTGAAGGGAGAAAAGAACAAAAGGAATCAACTCTGATCAGCTTCCCACCATCTTCCCAGAAACCAGGGAGAAAACATAGCCTAAGACAGCAATGAAACCCCAGGCATCATTCTGCCCCAAGCATCAAGCACCTAGGGGTGACTGGGGCAGAAATTCCCCTTTCCAGACACCACCAATCAGATTCACTTTGGTCAACTAATAACTTATTTTTTCTTCCTTTGTTCTAAATGTTATAATTCTTTCTCATCTATCAAACTCAAAAAGGGTATAGGGTATTCATTTTAAAAGACTCAATTTATAGGTCTTCATGGGCTCAACTTTTAAAAATTCTAGACAGAAGGTTGAATTGAGTTGTGCTTATGGTACAACATAATTAAAGGTAGGGCTAGTGACATTTCAGAAATAAGTAAAAACAATAATCAGAGGGAAAAGACCAGAATGCACCAAAACACAATTGGAAAACAAGAATAGTGAAATAACACGGTTGTCTAACTCGAAGTTTTTGTTTCACACGCTGAAGCTTAACATGGTGATCTTTTTACATGCAAGTCAACTTGGTCACCCTCTGCTCCATCCCTCACATGGCTTTCCACGTATTCGGGATGCAAGCCAAAGTCCCTGCTGTGGCCTGACACCTCCATCTTGCCCTATCCTTGACTACCACTCTCTTCTTCATCTAGTTGCACTGCCACCTTGTGTTGTCTGAACATGCCAAGTAACTTCTTACCACAGGGCCTGTGCCCTGATGCTTGCACCCCAAAGACATCTGGATCACTACCTGGTCTGCTGTGAACAGACCAAGTAGGGATCTTCAGACATCCACAGATGCTGGAGGAGCTTTCACTACACAAAAAGAACCAGATGCTTTGAACAATGTTCAAAAAGAACAATGTTTTGAATGCTCTATGTATGCTTCACATTTCACTTTATTAGAATAATCTCAACTTTGGACTTATTTCTCAGGGCTCCCTGAAATCTGTTTTATGAAGAAAGGTTTAACTAGCCAGGCATGGTGGCGCAAACCATTTGCCCCCGCTAATGAGAGACTGAGGTCTTGGATCACTTAAGCCCAGGAGTTCAACACATGCGTGGGCAATGTAGTGAAATTCCATTTCAAATAAAGAGAAAGGTTTGCCTAGAAGACTATGCACAATAAAAGGAACAGACTCTCCAAAATGTTGTTACATGGAAGAACCATTATGCAAAGTACAAGAAGTCAGACACAAAAAATATATCATGTATGATTCTGTTTATATGAAAATTTCCAGAAAAGGCAAATCCATAGAGATGGAAAGCAGTTCAGTGGTTGCCTGAGGCTAGAGAAGAAAATAGGAATTGACTACAGATGGCTAGAGCTTCTATTAGATATTAACTAGGGACAAATATTAAGTCTTCAAATAAATCACAAAACTATTACAAGGGCTAAGCAGGGCTCCTGGTCCAGTTTCACAGGACCATAAAAATGGGTAAAGGGTGAAGTGAGTTGCAACAATAAGAAAGATGAAGAGGGGGCTGGGGTTGTGGCTCAGTGATAGAGCACTTGCCTAGCTTGTGCAAGGTGCTGGCTCAATCCTCAGCAACACATAAAAATACATAAACTAGAGGTATTGTGTCCATTCACAACTAAAAAAAGAAAGAAAAAGATGAAGAAAATATTACTTTCTAGATGAGTACCCTGAGTCAGTGATTAAGAAAGCTATGAAGGTACACACCCCTGCATCCAGTCCCACCTACCCATGCTTAAGAATTAGTTAAAAGCCAGCCAGCAAGTCTCCCTCATCATCTGCATGGACTAACACAGGAGGTTCTCCCCCAACCCAACTACTGAAAATTAATCTTTGTCTTTACAATGAGCAGCAGACAGCTCAGCTTCAGCCTGCTTACCTGGAATAGTGTGCACTTCATCCAGGATCATGAGGCCCCATTCCTGTGTTTTAAGCCACTCCATGACTCGCTCAGCCTCCCAGGACCTCTTGGTAGTGTGGCCCAGCATGGAGTACGTGCTAATGGCAATGGAGCAGCCTATGGGCTTGTCCTTGGCATCAGAGGTGAAGCGGCAGATCTGGCTGTCATCAATGGTGGACCACATCTTGAACTGGGCTTTCCACTGCTCCACAGACACAGCAGAGTTGCCCAGCACCAGACAGCGCTTTCTGACAGTGCACGCAGCAGTCACACCAACCAGGGACTTCCCAGCACCTATAAGAAATCAAGGGATAATCCTACCAAAAGCCAGGTTGAAATGAAGGACAGGGATGATCAGGGACTCTTTAGCACAGGAATCTAGGCAAAATTTTATAGTGGTCCTCACAGCAGACATTTGTGAGGCATGTACTGCTCCAGCTTGCTTTCCTCTTTAAAAAGAGGCATGCCCACTTTACACATGAGTAAAATCAGTGGGTGCTGGGCCCTTCTCTAGAACCTTACACAGAACCCCTTTAAATGGTGAAACCTTAAAACCAAACATTGAGAAGAAATATTTCTGTTAGCACTATTTTAAAGAAAGGAAAACTAGATGGAGAAGTACCTTGCCGGTGGCCTTAAGATACTGGTGCTAGGAACAGTGCACCTAGCATACATCCTGCAAAGGAAGGACTCGGCAAATGACAGCTATTAATTATTATACAGAAAACAGGGCTTAAGGATGCATTTAAAGGGCTGGGGTTGTGGCTCATTGGTAGAGTGCTTGCCTAGCACGCATGAGGCACTGGGTTCAATCCTCAGCACCACATATAAAAATAAAGGGAGGTTGGGGATGTGGCTCAGTGATAGGGCGCTCACCTACCATGTGCAGGGCGCTGGGTTCTATCCTCAGCACCACATTAAAAAATAAAATAAAGGTATTGTGTCCAACTACAACTAAAAAATACTTTTAAAAACCATGTGTTTAAAGTGTACACAATACTAGAAAAGACAGAGAAGGTGAGTTTACTATCATCTACCACCCAAAGAACAAGATAAAAATCAATATTCCTCTCAACACAAATTCTTCCTTTACCATCAAAATAACCTATGAAGTTAAAAAAAAAAGACGGAAACTAAAGGCAGAGACCCATGTCTTAGGGACTTTGTGGGGGTGGGGGTGGGGAGTAGTCCCCAAAGGAGTCGTGTGGCCTCTGGTTAAGAACCTAGTAGGATAGGACTTTTTTTTTTTTTTTTAATTTGTTCTAATTAGTTGTGCATGGGGACTTGACATTCTTAAGGATAAGTGAGGTTGGTCAGGTGCCAATGTTGCTGCTGCTGCTGACTTTTCTCAGCCTTGCACACCATCAAAAGCCCTTCAGGAACAAACAAATCCATGCATCATTAGCCCGATTTTGCAGAATAGAAACCTAACACTCTTGTACACAGAATGCCTACCAGCACTATCTCACCCCATACCTGCTCTGGTTTTCTTCATGTCCTCTACCATTGCCTGAGATTTAATACGTTGCTTAATTGATCTGTTTATTATCAGTCTGTATCCCAGATGAAGGAGCTCCATAGCCCTAGGGCTTAAGCAAGGAGCCACACACAGTAAGCATTCAATAAATATTTGCCAAGTCATGTATAGGGAAGTACCTAACCTCAGCTGTCCCTTGGAAAGGTATGACTTAGGAAAATGTGCCGAGGGAGAGTGGGAGGCAGCCGGCAGGTCCAGAGAGAAGCCTGGCCAACTTCCTCATTCAGGTTCCACTCACCGCAAGGAAGAACAATGACTCCCGATCGTGCACGTCCATTCCCAAACATCTTCCGCAGGCTCTTCTCCTGATAGGGCCTGAGGACAGCTGTGGGTTTCAGGTCAATGTTTATATCAGGGTTGACAGAATCATTCCGGAAGTCATATTCTGCTAACAGAGGGTACTCCAGGTGTATACAACGTTTCTGGAGCTCCTCAATCATTTCCTGAGGAGTCAGTATGAAGGAGGTTTTATTATCTTGTTAACTCCAAAAGTATGTTAAAAAACAACACATATTCCATTGAATCCAATGTTCAGAAAATGGCATTTTATCCAAAAGAATATATTTCACATCTTGCTTGCTAACAATTAGGTTAAAGGACAAAAAGCAATCCAAACTAGTAACACTGGCAAAACGAACTCTAATCAGAATCAAATGGATTCTCAGCAACTGTTTCTCATATCTCTTCAGATTTGCTTGTGAAAGTCTCTGTGAACTTGTGGGGACCAGCCTTCTAGCCTGAGGAAGAATAACATGATGGCCCACAGACACAAAAATGGGAATACAACTAAGGAACAAAAAGGAATCTCTTTCTCTCACACATATTACAGAGGAAGTTAGCGCAGGGCTGGACACATTTACTGGAGAAGCAAGGAGTGTACATTCACTAACCTGTTTGACTTCAAAGGATACTGTCTGTGTCTCTTCTTCTTCTTCTTCATCCTTGTCCATTTGCTCATAAAAGTCAAACAAGTCCGTAGGGATGTCAGATTTACCCTGTGGATCTGTCACCCGGGAAGTAGAAGGCCCACTGCCACTATCTGCCATCTTAGAAATCTGCTAAGAGAAAGGCAGGTTTCTGGACTTGCACAAAACATTTGACCCTGACATAATCAAACAAGAAATAAAGTTGCAAAGGGGGAGTAAAAGGCTGGGCTGCTAGATTGCCAGTGCTAGAGTAAAGGAGAGAGCTGAAATCCCAAACATCCAGACCCTAGGTAACCCAGGAGCCCACGCACGCACGGCAGATTTGCTTGTGAAAGTCTCTGTGATGAGTTCAGTGGCCTCCCCCTCAGCATTCCTCAGGCGGCATTCGCGGATCACTGGATCTTGGAGAAGATGCTGGATGACATCGGGGTGGGAGCTTTCAACAAAGTACCTACAAGCAGGAAAGGAAGGAGGTGCCTACTGACCACTTCCTCATTTCCAAAAGACTATGCTAATCACTTGATTCAATGGTCTGGAAATAGTGGCCTCATAATGACTTTCCTTACTCTTTTGCTCCCCCTACAACTCTCTGCCAAATCACAGCTTGGCTCTGACAAAACATGAGAGTTGGGGGCAAATCCCTACTTTGAAGTCAAGTCAGCCAGGGGTCTGAGCCCTAGCTCCCTTACTAGTGGAAACACAGTGGCCAGCAAATGAATTTCCCACATGGGCCACATCTCTTTGTTCTTTTTATCTGTGCTTCAGGGGAGTGAGATGTTTGCACAGAGCAGACAGCCCATGCACATTAGCTCCTGCCCACAGCCCTTCCTCCTATCTAGTGCATGGAGGATGACAGTGCCTTGGGATGGGCCTATCAAAGAATCTCTTACCTGTTGTGTTTTAGGACCAGCTTGACTTTCCCATAGCTGACAGTACACAACTGCAAGTAGACACAACACCCAACAGGCAAAATTAGCAATGAGCAGCTCATTCAGAAACATTCTCTACTGGTCAATCTTACCATCTTCCAACCAAGTGAACAGCTGGGTTTACTTTAGCAAAACCCATTGTATGATCCTAAAACAGATAAGCCTAAACAGAACTTCTTTCACTGGCTTCTGATTTTTGACAAAACCTTCCTCCTTCCTAGCTAATTCTCAGCCACATCTCTTAATTTATAAAACACTGCTTAAACTCCCCTTTTTGTGTTTCCCATTTTACTTTCTTCTCCATGCCAACAGCCCCCATCCTAATCCAGAGGTTTATCCTATCACAACAATGTTACTATAGCTCCTAGCATACAAGTGTGCATGGAGTATATACTTAGTAATTACTTAGTAATAACTAATAACTTGCTGCATAAAGAAAATATAAAACCACCTAGCCTTCCCATCAATGTTCCTATTTCTTCAACTAGAATTTAGGGAATACAGCTTAAATCCTCCCAGCTTCCCAACAACCTTCAGGAAGGAATCCAGCAGAGATTATGTGGTGGCCATAAAAATCTTCCACTCAGACCTTGGGCTGCTGCCTACCCCTGCTGCCCCTCTGATCCACCACTGCATTGCCCCAGGGACCAATACAGGACATTTCCAAAAACTCCTCTCTCTAGCCACCTTGCAAGAAAAAAGAACTCTCTCCAGAGTTCCTGCCAGCTTCCCCGGGAGTGGATGCCTAATGGCCTCTTCTGCCACTCCAGAATTGGAATCTGAATCAAATTCCCATTAGATCAGGCAAAGATAATGAAAGTCACCATTCATCTCTTCTGAATAGCATTCATCCATGTTCAAATGCTGCTCAAACATTACTTCAATATTTGAAGTTCTTTTTTACTATCCCTAATAGAACTCATTGACTCTGAGTCTCATGCAAGTATTTACCCTTAAATGGAGTTTGGCAACTATATCAGTCAGTTCAGGCTGCCATAACAAAATACCACAGAGTGGGTGTCTTAAACAACATTTTATTTTCTTCGGGTTCTGGAGGCTAGAAATTCATAATCAAGGTACCTGCTGATTCAATTTCTGGTGAGGGTTTTATTCCTGGTTTATAGACTGCCACCTTCTTATTGTGCAATACAACAGGGAGGCAGATAGAGCTCTCTAGTGTCTCCTAATAAGGATACTAATCCTATTGGATCAGAGCCACACTCTTAGGTCTTCATTTGGTTGAAACAAATATAATTATTGGCCTCAGGATTTGAACATATAAATTTTGGGGGACACAATCCATTCCACCACATCACCCATTTTGGGCTGCTTTCCCAAATAACCCTGGCTAGTATATGTCTGAATTACTATCCCCACTGTGTTAGTACAACACTGGGTCCACAGGAATAGCAATGGGTTATTATTATGCTTCCCACAAAAGATACAAATGGCACATTTTCATGGCTATCATAGAATGATAATCAGTAGCATCTAGCCCCATTATTACCACACTGTCAGGGCAGGCAGAAATGCTAGCCTCAGCCCCGACTTGCCTTAATAAACTGAATAATTCCATCAGGGACTCCAGTCTTGCTGAGCTTCCTGAGGTACTCAGTGATGTCACTGGTTTGCAGCCCAACACTGACAGCTGCATACAGGGAGTAGGCAGTTAGCTTGTATTCATGTACATGGGTTGGTCGGCACACGGGCTCTGCAATAGCCACCAGGAAGTCTTGGGCATATTTGTAAACTGGAGAGAAAGCTTCCAAGAAGATGTGGCCATCAGGAGCCTGAGAAACACAAAATCAACACAACAGACAAGAAAACTAATGAGATGCAAAAACTCAAGACTCTTTCCCATACTGTTATCAAGAAAGGATAAGCCATCTGACACCAGGGATACTTGTGCAACCAGTACTTCAGAGAACTGTAGGTACTGTTACTTTAACCAGATACAGAAGAGCAGGGGAAAACAGAAGAAGAGGTTTCCCAAATTAGTATCTGTTTCCCACTGTTCTGCAGAGGAAAATCTTCCCCACATTACTGGCTATCCTCAAGCTACTTTTTGGCTAGATTTCAACTGAGTATAGAACATTAATTATTTTAATGTTGCACAAAAGCTGGCTACTAAAAAATTATGAAATAAATTGTTAACAGAATAAATGCTATTTATTAGGCCAGTAAAGTACTTTCCAATATGTAGTAGGTAGAACTAGGGAAGGAGTGGAAGTGAAAGGGTTAGAGATGAAGAAAGCCCAAGCATGTTTGGCTGACCTATGTGTGACCAGCTGTTCAAACAGCTGGTTGCCTCTCCCAGCTGGTTCCGAGAGGCTGTATCCGACATTTTGGGGTCTAAGAATGTCCAAGATTTAGCTGCCACTCTAGACCTTTGGGCCCTGCCTGACAGAAGGCATGCTTACCACCCAGAGGGGTCTGGAGGTGTGGTCATCCTTCAGTGGCATCTGCAGCCTATAGTCCTTGGCTCCGTATTCATCCACTTTGGTCCCGGCCTCATCCACCTGCTTCCCGGCCGCCGAGGGGACTGCCTCCTGAGAGTCGTTTCCAGGGGTGTCGTCTTCATCTTCCTCTTCATCCTCATAGTGCCGCTTCTTGGACTTCTTCTTGTCTGCGGATACCGACACAGAAGTGAGCCCAGCGGGAATCTCAGTTCACTATGCACTACAGGCAGGAACCTGGAAGCAGCTTCATTCCACGGGCGCCTCCATCTCCTAAGCAAGAGCCATCTGAACCCCGCAGGCGTCGAGTCCCTCAACCTCCTCCCACCCACAGCTGCTGGTAGGGCTGCGCCCAGGTCCCGCATCTCCCCAGCCCGGCGGTCCGCGGGACAAGGTGTACGCGTGGGCTCGGCCGCAGCCAATACACCCGGGGCAGCTCTGACACCGAGCGGTGAGGGCGGGGCCGACAGGAACAGAAAAGACACACCGCGCCCGTGCCTCCTCTCACCGCGGTCCGCCCGGTCTCTTTTGCCCATGGCAGCGACGTTAACAGCCCTTGGACACCCCCAGCGCCGACCGCTCACCGTGGCGTCTTCTTTCAGAGGAACTTCCGGCCCACAACGGAAGCTTGGCACCACTCACAGGAAGTCCCGCCTTTGGTCTCAGGTCCGGGAAGGGAAGGGTTGGAGAGGTGTAACGGGTTTCGGTCACGTGTTGCGGACGACCTCTAGTCCGGAAGTGAGGTGATTGTCGGGCGCCGGTGTCTTCGGGCAGCTCGCCATTGTCGCTGGGGTAGAACATTGAACAAATTAAAGGCCTTGTCCTAGAATTTAAGTTCCAAAGGAGCCTTGAACGAATAAATATGGTGCGAAGTGCTCTGAGGTAAAATAACACGGCCCAGAATAATGGGCAGGTGCCATTCTAGAGTGGTCCTGGAATACCCCTCCTAAGTGGAGTTATGTGAGCTGCAAAAATGATGGACCTAGGGAAAGGTGTAGATTTGGAGGGTGGTCTTAACGTATTATATATGAGGCAGCTGTATTAGTTTGCTCAATTTATTCATAACAAATACCACAGACTACATCACTTAAACAGAAATTTAATTTCTCACTGTTCTGGAGGATAAGGTCCAATCTGATTGGGTTCCTGGTGAGGGCCTGATTATTGGCTGGCAGAAAGCCACTTTCTCCCTGTGTCCTTTTGACATCTCTTTACTTGTAAAGACACTAGTCCTATTAGATTAGCCCCACCATTACTACCTCTTTTCAACCCGCATTATTCTTTACAGGCCCTATTTTCAAATACAGTCATAGTGAGGGCTAGGCCTTCCATACATGAATTTTGGAGAAGATGCTGTTCCCATAGCAGTGGCCTATTAAACAATTGTCAAGAACAATATTATATATGATTCTGAAGTTCTGGATAGCATTATAAATTTGGGAATTGTCAACATATCTGGTATTAAAGCTATAGAACTGGTTGCGGTTACCTAGGGAGTGAATGAATGTAGGTAGAGGCCCAAGGACTGAGGACCTTTCATAGTGAAGAGGTTGCAAAAATAGCATGGTACTGGTACCAAAACAGGAAGGTAGACCACTGGTACAGAATAGAGGACACAGAGACCAATCCACAAAATTACAACTACCTTATATTAGACAAAGGTGCCAAAAGCATGCAATGGAGAAAGGATAGCATCTTCAACAAATGGTGCTGGGAGAACTGGAAATCCATATGCAACAAAATGAAGTTGAATCCCTCTCTCTAACCTTGCACAAAAGTTAACTCAAAATGGATCAAGGAGCTAGGAATCAAACCAGAAACTCTGCGTCTAATAGAAGAAAAAGTTGGCCCTAATCTCCATCTTGTGGGGTCGGGCTCCAAATTCCTTAATAGGACACCAATAGCACAAGAGTTAAAATCAAGAATCAATAATTGGGACGTATTCAAACTAAAAAGTTCTTTCTCAGCAAGAGAAACAATAAGAGAGGTAAATAGGGAGCCTACATCCTGGGAACAAATATTTACCCCTCACACTTCAGATAGAGCCCTAATATCCAGAGTATACAAAGAACTCAAAAAATTAAACAATAAGAAAATAAATAACCCAATCAACAAATGGGCCAAGGATCTGAACAGACACTTCTCAGAGGAGGATATACGATCAATCAACAAATACATGAAAAAATGCTCACCATCTCTAGCAATCAGAGAAATGCAAATTAAAACCACTCTAAGATACCATCTCACTCCAGTAAGAATGGCAGCCATTATGAAGTCAAACAATAACAAGTGCTGGCGAGGATGTGGGGAAAAGGGTACACTTGTACATTGCTGGTGGGACTGCAAATTGGTTCAGCCAATTTGGAAAGCAGTATGGAGATTCCTTGGAAAGCTGGGAATGGAGCCACCATTTGACCCAGCTATTCCCCTTCTCAGACTATACCCAAAAGACCTAAAAAGAGCATACAACAGGGACACAGCTACATCAATGTTCATAGCAGCATAATTCACAATAGCTAGACTGTGGAACCAACCCAGATGTCCTTCAATAGATGAATGGATAAAAAAAATGTGGCATTTATACACAATGGAATATTACTCAGCACTAAAAAATAACAAAATTATGGCATTTGCAGGGAAATGGATGCATTAGAGCAGATTGTGCTAAGTGAAGCTAGCCAATCCCTAAAAAACAAATGCAGAATGTCTTCTTTGATATAAGGGGGGCTACTCAAAACAAAGCAGGGAGGAAGAGCATGAGAAGAAGATTACCATTAAATAGGGATGAGAGGTGCATGGGAATGGGAGAGAGAAGGGGAATTGCATGTAAGATGGTAGAAGACCCTCATGGTTATGCAAAATTACATATAAGATGGTGTGAGGGGGAAGATAAAAGAGAGAGAAACGTGTCACAGTAGATTGGGTAGAAAGAGGTGATGGGAGGGGAGGGGAGGGGAGTGGGGATAAGAAGGGCAGCACAATACAATAGACACTAATATGGCCCTATGTATAAACATGGCTGTATAACCAATGTGATCCTGCAATCTGTACACGTGGAAAAATAAGATTATGTACCCCATTTGGATCAAATGTATGATATGTCAAGATCATTGTAATGTTTTGAGCAACTAATAAAAAAAATTAAAAAAAAAAAAAAGGAGTCTTGGGTAACACCACCCGAAGGGCAATCAGAAGATGGTAAAATTAGGAGGCCTGGAAGTGCTCATTTCATTTCAAAGTGGAGGAAGGAATGGACTATGTCAAATGCTACTGATCAACAGATTAGATTAAAAGATTAGATTAAACATTGAGACTCAGCAATAGATTTGCAAGGTAGAGATCAGTTCTCTGCTGAATGACTTTAGTACATTGAAGATTTGCTGTTGGCCCATGGTCTAAGTGAATTTCACTGAAGAGGTGGAAGAACCACACTTTTTAAACTGGCTTTTATGTTGATAGTGGTGGCACACATGCCTGAAATCCCAGCTACTTGGGAGGCTGAGACAGGAGGACTTGCAAATTTGACATCAGCCTTACCAATTTTGCAAGACCCCATCTGAAAAGATTAAAAAAGAAAGTCTGGGAATGTTGTTCAACAGTAGAATACCCCTGGGTTTAATCCCCAGTTCTTAAAAAAAAAAACCCAAAAACCTAATAAGTGAAACTGACTTTCATATTTTCATGTTTTCCCTTTGTTTAAAGTAAAAAATCTTGAAAATTGGTAGAAAGTATAGCAAAGGCTACTTAAACCACACACAACACTACCCTCTAGCTGTCTACTTAAGGGATGGGAGGAGGGGTGGGGGTGGAGGACCCTGGGCTTTCTTTGCAATTGCTAGTTAAGCACCCTATCACTGAGCTACATTCCCAGACTTTTTTTCTGTGAGTAGTTTTCTCTCTCTCTTTTGTTTGTATGTGTAGGTGTCTTTATACCATGAAAATATTACTTGTCCAAGTAATATTGTGAGCTACAAAAATGATGTACCATATTGACATATGGTGATTTTATATCCTCTTTTGTTTTATTCACTTCTTAAAGTGAGTGTTTAATAACAATTTAATATTTCATTGCATGACAATATCATAATTTACTTAGCCAGACCCTAGTTGGGGGCATTGGGATAGTACCTGTTTACCCAGTTATGAGTAGCTCTATGATGAATATCTTCAGATACAAATTATATATTTTTTTTGTACCAGAGATTAAACCCAGGGGTGCTAAGCCACTGAGCCATAGCCCCAGTATTGGCATCAGATCAATATTGGCATCAGATTCACCATTTTAGGTCAGGAGCCATTTTATCTAGAGGTTCCAAAGTTTCAATTCTGAGGCAGTGCTGCTTAAGAACAAGTACCTGCTAAAACAATCAACCCCATCCAGCTTAAACTCATATGCAGTTTATGAGATTCTTGTGGGCTATAAAGCTGCTCTTTAAGTGCCAACAGGCTGCTGCTCTCCTTGAAGGGACAGCCTTGTGGTTATGCCTCCTGTTATGGACAATAAATCTCTTGCGTGATATTCTGGTGTGTGGTGTGGTTCTTGGACTTCACATGGACTCTGCAAGTGTCCTTTCACCCAGCCTATTTTATTATTTTATTTTGAGGCAGGATCTTGCTAAATTGCTTAGGGCATCGTGAAATTGCTTTGAACTCGGGATCCTCCTGCCTCAGCCTCCCAAGCCACTGGGATTACAGTGTGAACCGCTGCACCCAATCTGGTGTAAAGGCATTTTTAAGATATGATTAACAGTCACAATTAATAGAGTTTAAGTAAAGTTTATCCTCAGTAGTGTGAGTTGACCGATCCTATCACTTGAAGGCCTTCAGGGCAAAGACAGGCTGAAGTGGCACACACCTGTAAACCAGCAATTTGGGAGGCTGAGGCAGGAAGATCACAAATTCCAGGCCAGTCTAGGCAATTTATCAAGACCCTCTCTCAAAATAAAAACAAAAGAATTGAAGGTATGGCTCAGTGCTAGAATGCCCCCTGGGTTCAGTCCCTAGTACCACCAAAAAACAAAAATTTTAAAAAAAAAGCTTACAGTTTTTCTGAGAATAAGGGAATTCTGCCTCCAGACTACAAGAGAGATTCCAAGTTTCTAGCCTTTGGATTCAAGAGTACAACTCTTTTTTTTCCACATTTTTTATTTTTGCATTATAGGTGTATATATTGATGGGAAAAATACAACATGTATGTGAATTTCTGACTTGCTAGCCCCTACAGCTATGTGAGACAATTCCTTAAACTAACTCTGTCTCTTGCTTTCTCACTCTTTTTCAATGAAAATACATTCCTTCATTTGAGATAGATGGGCTCTCAGGAGAGAAAAAAAGAGACTCTTAGTAGATAGAGATCCAGATCTGCAAGCATAACCAATCATACTTGCCTCTTTAGTTAGATGAACAAAACATTTAGCATATAGGTCAACCAGAACAAAAACATAACCAATTTAAACTCACCATATTCAAAGACTTATACAACATGCCCACAATTAATTTATAGCTAGACTGCTTAGACAAAAAAGGAAACACTGTGAACCCCAAATATCAAATGACTGTCTTGGCATTTGA